TTCATCAGGTGGAGGATCCCCTCCTGCTGAGCTGTTGTGATCACCCATTTCAGATCCCTAGTGCTCCAAGAAGCAAAGCGAGATCGTTTGAGGATTCGTCGAGACACTTCAAATGCGACCTTTTCATACTACTATATGCCCATTTATTTATTTGGCTACACGATGTAATAATTTAAAAAGTCTCACGCTCCAACTAGAACATTCGTTTAAAGTTAATAGAAGTAATTTATCCAACTGACATGTGTGTCAACGCAAGGTGAATTTACGAGTAGGCGTGGAATATTATACCGCGTGCAGCTTTATTCGGACTTGTGAGCGTTTTACCACCCACAGTTTTATTTCTATGCTAATTCACAAAGGGCCACCTACTCCATACTTTAAAGCAAGCGCGCACCAGTCTGCCGTGACTATTTGGTATGAGTGCATCCAAAGTGATTTTTGTGATCTTTTATGTCAGAGAAAAATATTTATCTTTAGGAGCCACAATAAAGTACAATATATGAAAAGCCGAATCTTGAATTTATTCAACAATGTGTACATGTGGTGTTCATACACGAAGTGATAATAAACAACATGAGACGTCAATGCTTGAGACTAACAGACGACCAAAGTTAGAGCCGTGTAATTACATTCAGGTGTCATCGAAGTGAGGAGGGTATACAAAATCTAGCTCAGCGACAACGCACTGTTCTCGCTGTCTAAAAACATGGTGTTTTGCAACATAGAATAGAACGATAAATATGGAGACAGTTCATTGACAATCTAAACTACCATTCCGTCACAATGTGACGAATCAGAAGAGCCACTCATAGGCAGTCCATCTCAAGATAATCGTACGACAATACGTTGCCTCAAGGGTGGACGAAGTTGCTGTTCGTGGTTTGTCCAATTGTAAAAGTAATGCTGTAAAACAAGGACGTAGCTCACGTATTGTACGGTATGTAATTAGTTTGACCAGTTCAAGACTTTCGTCTTGAAAAGCGTCGTTGTGTGGCCAATCCTTTCGCACAGCTTCATATACATCACACTATTCTTAATGAGACAAGATAGTGCTGCAAAAAGGAGGCGTAAGCATCCCGTCGGTATGACGACGTAAGAGTTTGGCCGCATTCTTAGTTCTTGCGACTAGCGTGGCATTTCGCTGAGTTGATCTTTTTGAGAATTCGATGTGTTTTATTAAGATTGGTAGTTATTTTCTGCCGAAAATTTGTAATGCCAATCTGATATTCCAATATCCTGACCGATAAATAACAACTGGGGTGAATTTGTAATTAGAGATCGAAAATTTTCGAGAAACCGTATGTTGCACGATGGGTTGAGATGAAATTATTGATGATAATGCCCACATCTTTTCTGGGTATCCTCCATTCATTGCAGCAGCATCGTACGACATATGGCACAGAAGCGCCGTCGTGCTGTCTGTGTCACCAATTTGACGTCAGATCGCTTTTATCCTGAGCACTTGGTCAATGTGGCTCTCCGTCCTCTGCGCACAATTGAATTTTCCTCGTAAGAAACCCCTCAACTCGCTACCCGCGTCTTTCAAAGATGCAAACCCCAAGCTCGCTTCGTCTTATTATCTTTGCCGCCATGACTGCAATGACACACGCACAGCAGGTTGGTGATAACACAGATGAGGTTCACCCCACGCTGACGACGCAAGATTGCACTAAAACCGGTTGCACTGATGCGGCAACGTCCATAGCACTTGATGCCAACTGGCGCTGGCTGTACAAGGTTGGCACGACAAAAAATTGCTACACTGGAAACGCGTTTGACAAAACCATCTGTGCGGATCCTAAAACGTGCGCATCCGATTGCGCCCTTGACGGTGCCGACTATACTGGTACTTACGGCATCACAACGGAAGGTGACTCGTTGTCTCTTAAACTAGTGACCAAGGGTCCATACAGTACTAACATTGGTTCCCGAGTGTACCTCATGGAGTCTGACGACATGTACAAGTCTTTCAAACTGCTAAACAAAGAATTCACTTTTGACGTCGACGTATCAACACTCGGCTGTGGTCTGAATGGCGCCATTTACTTTGTTGACATGGAGCCTGATGGAGGTATCAAACGTTTCCCAAGCAACAAGGCCGGTGCCAAGTACGGTACGGGTTATTGTGATGCACAGTGTCCCCAAGATCTCAAGTTTATCAGTGGGGAAGCCAACGTTATCGATTGGACGCCCAGCAAAATCGATAGCAATGCTGGAACGGGTAAGTGGGGTTCCTGCTGCGCTGAAATGGATATTTTGGAGGCAAACAGCATTAGTAATGCGTACACCACACATCCATGTACGACAAAGATTGGTGGATCTCATCGCTGCGAAACTGCCGAGGAGTGCGGCGTAGGTAAGAGTCGTTATGACGGCGTATGCGATAAGGACGGCTGTGATTTCAACCCCTTTCGTATGGGTAACAAGAATTTCTATGGCCCTGGACCAAAATTTACGATTGATACGACCAAGAAGATCACAGTGGTTACTCAATTTATTACATCGGATAACACGGAAGCGGGCAAGTTGACTGAGGTTAAGAGATTTTACATACAAAATGGTGTGACACACGAAATGGCTAAATCGACATTTCCGGCATTGAAGAACATGAATTCTTTGACAGACAGTCAGTGCTCTGCAGCTAAAACGCTATTTGGCGATATCGATGACCACAAGAAAAAAGGCGGTCTCGAACAGATGGGTGAGGCGATGAGGAGCGGTATGGTGCTGACTATGAGTCTCTGGACGGACAATGCCGCTCAGTGTCTGTGGCTCGACTCGGACTTCCCAGTGGACGCTCCTGCCACAAAGCCTGGTGTATCTCGTGGTACTTGCCCAAAGACGTCTGGCTTACCGAAAGAGGTCATTGCCGAGCAACCCGACGCTACCATTGTCGTAAGCAACATCCGCTTTGGCGAAATCGGCTCGACGGTGAAGGGTCTACCAGCATCTTCAAAGGCCACGAAGGCCACTCCTGCTGCTGCCACACCTGAAGTAGGAGCTGACGCAGACATTTTGACGCTCACGGCTACTCCTGAAGTAGGTGCCGATGCAGATGCATCGCCGCCGTCCACCTCGTGCAGGCGCCGACGCTAAGTTTGTATCGTGGCGTGAGTGTAGACGATGTGCTTATCGTTTCAAACTAAGATCGAGCTCTTCGTATTGAAAAACCATTTATGGAAGTATTGTTTGTCAGAATGCCTTTTAAATGTTTTTACCAAATCAGATGCCAACCTTTTACAGCTAATTCTTGATGGTGCCACCTTGGAGAATTCGCACTGTTATATCTTTGTTTCAAAGCAATACGTCGTACTCACATCTTAACGATTACTGTGAAAAGCTTGCTTCAGAACAAACTTACTAAGACGCCATAAAAATAATTGTTGACATTGGATGTTAATGTCAGAAGCAGCATGAATTTATCAAAAGTGTAATATGTACTGCTAGAGTTGACGTCAGCTTTATTTCTCAGCAATGCAAGATCGTGTAGCATAAGATAGTCTGGTCTCTATTACAAGCGTTGGTTCAATGGTAAAATATCTCGTTGCCAACAAGATGCCCCGGGTTCGATTCCCGGACGGCGCATCTTGATGCCACCACCTTGAGAATAAGCAGTGTATTATATCTTTGTTTTAAAGCCCTTCATCGTACTGACTGTCAGAAGCTATCTCCAGAATAAAGTTAATTGGATGGCTCATATTTT